CCCCCGCGTGCGAAGCGGACCCCCCGCCCGCCATGGAGCTGGCCCTGGCCACCCTGCTCCTGCTCTGCATCGCCGGCATGCTCCTGGCCTCCGCCTGGCAGCGCCGCACCCAGCCCGGGCCGCTGCCCCCGGGCCCCACCCCGCTGCCCCTCCTGGGGAACTTCCTGCAGCTGGACAGAAAGAACTTCCTGGTCTCCTTCCAGCAGGTGAGGGCCCGGCTCTGCTCCCCAAAGTGCCCGGCTCGGACCCCGGCCGGCCGGAGCGTCACTGGGGCCGGATCCCTCGGGTCACGGGCTGGAGGGGGATGATGGAGGGGTGCGTGGGAGGAGGGAGGGATGATAGAGGGGCGCGTGGCAGTAGGGCAGAGTGCGTGGAGGGAGGGATGATGGAGGGATGCTAGAGGGAGCGTGGCAGGAGGGAGGGATGATAGAGGGGCGCGTGGCAGTAGGGCAGAGTGCGTGGAGGGAGGGATGATGGAGGGATGCTAGAGGGAGCGTGGCAGGAGGGAGGGAGGGATGCTGGAGGGGCGCTTGGTGTGAGGGAGGGATGATGGAGGGATGCTAGAGGGAGCGTGGCAGGAGGGAGGGAGGGATGCTGGAGGGGCGCTTGGTGTGAGGGAGGGATGATGGAGGGATGCTAGAGGGAGCGTGGCAGGAGGGAGGGAGGGATGCTGGAGGGGCGCTTGGTGTGAGGGAGGGATGATGGAGGGATGCTAGAGGGAGCGTGGCAGGAGGGAGGGAGGGATGCTGGAGGGGCGCTTGGTGTGAGGGAGGGATGATGGAGGGATGCTAGAGGGAGCGTGGCAGGAGGGAGGGAGGGATGCTGGAGGGGCGCTTGGTGTGAGGGAGGGATGATGGAGGGATGCTAGAGGGGAGCATGTCAGGAGGAAGAGGCGCGTGGCGGGAGAGTTGGTGGCCGGGCCCCCGTGGCTCTAGCGTTTGACGGTTCAGCCGCGGTTCCAGGCGAGGTCCGGGGGCAGGCGATGGAGGGAGGGGGCCCGGCCCGCATGTGGCGGATGCTCCGAAGTTCCATCCCTTGCCTCCACGCCCCGGTGCACAGATGTGGGAGCGCTACGGGCCGGTGTTCACGGTGCACCTGGGCCCCCGGCGGGTGGTGGTGCTGTCCGTGGCTCTAGCGTTTGACGGTTCAGCCGCGGTTCCAGGCGAGGTCCGGGGGCAGGCGATGGAGGGAGGGGGCCCGGCCCGCATGTGGCGGATGCTCCGAAGTTCCATCCCTTGCCTCCACGCCCCGGTGCACAGATGTGGGAGCGCTACGGGCCGGTGTTCACGGTGCACCTGGGCCCCCGGCGGGTGGTGGTGCTGTG